TAACTGTGTACCAGTTTAACGTTGAATATTATTTGTGATTTTAACTTTATACACAAGTGCCAAAATACTATAATTATGGTACAGTAGCATTACATCTGCAGCAACGACAACAATCCTGTGCAGTATTTTTCGGGTGAAACGGAATACGGTGCCAATTTTTTCTTGGGAAGTAAAGAGGTCCAAGTCTTCATCATATCTACTTTTTTCAGTTTTTACGTCATGTGTGATTTTTTTTTTGTCAATACACTATACTTTCTAACCATTAACTAAAGACAAAATAATACGACTAAGAGGAAATTTTAGGACCTCACAATCATTTAAGTTCCTACTTGAAATAACAATCATATGTCCCAAAAGTTTGCGGTCTGCTTTCAAAATAGTCTTTCTTTCGTGAGTTTAGTTTTCCTTTTCATTTTTGATACTACTGTACTACTGGAGATTTTCAGATTCAACTTTGGTAATCGATCATAAAATCCCTAGACAGGTGGCGTTTTTTTTCTCAGTTGACTCTATTTAAACTCCTGGTAGATTGTTTTATCTTTGTCTTTTGCTGTTAGCAGGTCATTGGTGACTTCTCTAGGTATACTGACAAGGTATAGTAAATTACTATTGAATGGATTTATCCAACTGTTTTCCATCAGATCTTCTTCTAGTGCTTGTACATCAGTTTCATCTATCTTAATGCGGGATGTTTTATATCAGCATGACCAAGACTTTGTGCTGCCAGCCGTGTCATGTTCCTTAGTTGTCTTATACGTGTACTTCTGTACTCCACACAAGGTAATACCTATTCATTGGATCCCGTCCTAAGAAAGGAGCCTTTTGTGCCATATGGTGTCTTTGTATTCTTGTTGACTGTCTCTCCTATAGCTTGGTCAACAGGAATCTTACCAAAAGGATTTGACTCCTCAAGCCATGCTGACAAGTCTCCTCTCACGAAGTGTTAATACACCTCACAGTTTCCGTCTTTGAGACGGTCATCTGGGCATAATGTACTGGCACGTATGTGGCATAATTATATTCATAATAAGCGTAACACCGTGGAATTACAGAAGGAATGAATGATCAATGCAGGAGCCATTTATGTTCTCTTGGTGCTCAGGTTAATCCAAACAAGATTTCTACCATGTCAATATAAGACATCCATATTTCTGTTGTAAATAGCAGAATTCTCAGATGTTGACATACTTGGATGCATGAAGAATGTTCCAGCACTACTTGAGATTGGTATGAAGGTGACTGATAAGGTTAATTGTATCATTCAATATTGTAAAATTGGCTTCATGATTCTCCTCTAGCAAGAGGTAGAAGCTCTTTCATGCAACTTTCATGAGAGCTTCAATGGCCATCTTGTGTGCCATCCTCTATTATACATATGGGCATCTAGGACGCTGGCGATGGATATGGTAGTAATGACTCCAGATTCGATAACAAGATCATGGAGATTTGCAACTCGAAATAATCCACTGTAGGAAATGACCCACCTTGATTACAGGGTTCTGAAATATTTCTTGGCGTTTCCAAAATATTTATAGAATCTTTGTTTTTTACAGGAATATCTAG